ATTCGTGACCGGCATTTTGTTTTGCTCTGTCTATCCTCTGCACTTCCGTGTTCGTCAATTCTCACCTGAGCTTACGCTATGCCTATGTCATACGTCGAGTCAGAGGTCACCCTTCCGCTGGAACTGGACTCTCTTTATAAAGTTTTAAATCGCTTAGCTTCAGAAGGCCTTTATTAACCCACTGGAGTCGTATGGTTTACTTTTATGATGAATGGATGTGCTTTTCAAAAACGCAAGCACTAGTCTATCCATTATAAAGCTTGGAAGAGCCAGGATATTATTTATTACATCTCGATTGTGTTCGGCTGAAAGAAGGAAGTCATATGCACCTACGAAGGTTTAAGGGTGAGTAAATTTAATAAAGTCATTTTTGGGTGGCCTGAAAGGAATAGATCCTTTCAACAGGGCCTATCCACCTTATTCCCGACAACCTAACTGCGTTTTGAATTATGGGTGGCACTTCCGGTTTGAGGAACTTCCATTCAAAAAGGCTGAAACGAATAATTTCAAATAATAAGGTTGCCCTGATCTGTCAATTGTCCTTCATGATTTATTTTCAGACATCATGAGAATAAAGTTATAGCCTACTTGGTATTTTAACATGACATGTTATAACAAGAATATCTATGCCAAGAGCTCTTTTCAGTTGCTGCTTTCTTTTCCTCGTGATTATTTTCTTTTTGAAAGTATCAAAAAGGACAAGATAAACTGCACATCTGTGGTCTGTTCTCCCGAATTTAATTTACAATATATTCCATTAGTAATTCACTTGAATGTACGAAGAATCGTCTCTTTCCAGGTTTGTTTTCACAGGTAAATGTAATTTATAACCTGTCAAAATGACGGAAATCACTTTGAAATAGTATCACGTAATGCTGAAGTTAATGAACATTTTTGTTTAAAGGGGTCATATAATGGTACATGCACTTTTACAAGTTGATTGTACTGAAATGTGTGTTGGCAGTGCCTGTACACAACCATCATATAATAATAAAAATCCATCCAGTGTTTTTTTAATAATCTCCTTATATGTTTTCCCCTGTCTCAAATCGAGCCGCCTGATGTGACCTCACACGGTCGGACGCCCCTCCCACGATTGTTGATTGACAGCAGCGTTTCAACACAGACCCGCCCTGAGCGAGCTGTCATCATAATCCGCTATTGTTGATACGCTGGAGCAGAATGGCGTCTAAGCGATTGTGGTGTTCTGTTCTTGGGTGTAATAACGAACACAGTCATTTTGATGTTCCTAAATCCGAACCGCTGAAGACACAGTGGCTGAGTTTTGTTTTCGAAGGGAATTTTCCCCACGATCAACGTCAATGCTTTCATGTTTGCGCGAATAATTTTTCACCAGACTGCTTTATAAACGAGGGTCCAGTATAAGCTGGCTTTGCTAAGAAGCTGCTCCTGAAAAAAGAATCGGTACCAACTCGTGTTCCTGCTGCACCTCCAGAAGAAGGAGTGTAACAAATGCAGCTAAGGTTTACATTACGGCATGTTTTCTATGTACGGCGTTCTAAATATAATTCATAATCCCACGTTTATAATGAACAACACGTTATGGTTATTGTGTTATTACAAACCAATCACCGACAGGGGGCGGGTGTTGTGAGGTTTTGCGCTCGTGCACGGCTGCACACGAAGTCTGAGCTGAAGAAGAAGCCAGCGTCTATCAACGAACCCCTGTCTGTGATTGGTTGGAACACTATTTATTTTGGTTTTGAGTGGTTGGTGAAACCAATTGCTTTTGTGTGCAGATCTCAGAGCCTAGGCTGCCTACAGAGACGCGTTTTTTTTGACGGCCTGCTTGTGGGGCGGGCAGCTAGCGGATCGTTAGGAAAGATTAGATGAATGTGATAATTTATGTTTGGGCCTTTTTTGGGCTTGAAATCGCTGATACAACCTTTAAATGCTCAAGCTCTTTAAAGCAGGATGGATTCTGATTGGCTGTCGATGTTTATATCATTCATCAGCTAGAGAAAAAGAATTCTTAAAGCGATGCCAACGATATCGTTACTCTGTGTCGTTATTGTTATAGTTGTGGTGTGGTGTGGACTCAGCTATTCTGTTAAATTTTGAACGATTTTTAAAACGAAATCTTTATCGTTATAGTTATCATCCTTGGTGTGAGCGGGCCTTTAAGCTGAGGCAGACTATAAACTTGACATTTAGCAGAGAGAACAGTTCCACCCTCTTTAACCCTTAGGTCTTGTTGCTAGGCAACAACTGACAGATTACAGAGGGAATGTCCTGGAATGCTTCAGTGGAAAAGGGGAAGGGTGTGCTGAATAGAATAGACTGTTTACATGTGAAGGGGAGATCCTGTAGCTTCAGTCTGGCCGCTGTAACTCGACCGTCCCTGCCTCCTCCTTTATGTAACTAAGCATGAACTCCAGTAGCTGGAATGTGCGTGTCAGATTAGCTAGATTTACCATTCGTACATGTGGTTCCCTCCTGCCATATTTACCTGGTCTGTCAAGTTCGGCCATATATTCAGGAGGGAAAAATATACATTGTACAAGAAAAAGTGCTTTTCCGTGAAACAGATTTGCAGTTAAATCACAGATCGCAACAGTTGCCATTGAGTTATCAACCTCATAAATAATTTATCTAACGATGCATATTTAATAGTCTGGTTAATAATGAATGCTAAATCCCAGTGATTAAAGTCTGAAGGCCTATAATGTTTTGTTGTTGTTTTGTGTTTCTGTCTGTTTCTTTATGGTTGTCAATCCAGATTTATTAGTCAAAAATTGCAGTTTATATTGCATATTTACAGAAAGTGATGCTTTAATATAGGCATTAGGCAAGATATATACACTTTTGTGTTCCTGAAATCGTTAAAAAAATAGACTTATAAAAAATAGGAAATATATTTAGAGAATTTTAGATCTTATTTTGATGTTGAGGTGAAATATGACTGGACATGTTCTTAACATGATTGTCAGCTATCATACTGTACATATTCAAATTTCTTTTAAAGTCTTCAAGACTTTACTGTAAGACTACTAGTACATGTACTAAAACGTACTGCTTATTTGACTTGTTTTCTAGTGAAAAAATATGCATTAACATGGTCAATTTACTTGAAGCAGCACCGCATGAGATATTTAGACGTGTGGAGATATTTAGAAAGTGTTTTGTCTGCACTGCACTTTCGGATTGGTTTCATTTTCTTTAACTTGTTTATACTTGAAACAAATGAGGGGAAAAAACTGTCATTGCATTAAGACAATACACTTTTATTAAAGGTATGCTAATTATCTCATACAGTGTTGCTTCTTAAGTAAATTTATCTTGATTTAAATATTTTAACCAGACAAATAAGACAAAAATACTTAAGACAGGGATTTTTGGAGTGTACAGTTTCAGTTGTTTAGTGCTGACCGGGGCTTAGCTGGCAGATCATTTAGCGGTTTATGATTATTGGCTTTACTTTCCACACTGTTAGACAGATTATAAAAAGAGCAGCTTTTATTTGATCCCATCCCATGCTTTTAGGGATACAGGCTGTTTTGAATATTTTGAGCAGGGGCATTATTTAATAAAGCATTATGAACTGATTGAATTTTTTTAATTCTGCTAGTGCTAGAGACAATATCATATTTAGACAGATCAATGCATGCACTTATCGATGTTCTTACATTTGCATTCACTTGGCAAACCTTCTGAAGTGATTTACAGGGACTTCAATGTTATACATTTATCATTATGTGCATTTTTGGCTAATTTGATTTATTCTAAAAAAGATTTTAAATATGTTTCGCAGAATTTTCCTTAAATCAGTAAAAAAAAAAAGTGATATTATTTTGTGTGGGCCTGCATGTGATATGTAGGCCTATTCATAGTTTCACCTAACACTAGTTTAACATTGTATGTAGAAATTTAGGTGTGAATGTCACCCTTTATTTGTTCCGATAACTGTGATGAATATGAGCATTTGTCATTATCCCAGGTTGTTGCTCTTCTTGTTTGTATTGGCCAGAGAATTTGGAGTTTTGGTGATTTATTATAATCGTTTAGTAAGTATTAGACTTTCAGAGGCACATTCTGGTTTATGATAAAGCAGTATAGGTGAGAAGAGCAAGATTCTTGGCTCCGCTACACAACGCAACTGAACCAGCAAGACTCATGTGCATGATTATGCAATGTGTAATTACATAGGGCAACTTTTATTTTTTGATGGAATGATAGTTTCACATTTCGTTTACAGTATATGCAAATATACAGCCCAGAGCATTACATGGTGTTATGAAGAAATAAACGTGATAATCTTCTCAAACTGCTCAGATTCTTGTCAGTGTTATTGAAGTGAATTTTAATTACGTTTATAGTTAATTGAAATAAAATAAAATAAAAACTTAAACTAGAAAAGTGTTGTTGGCAACTAACTGAAATAAAATTAGCTGATGTAGCCTACTGAAATAAAAAGCTAAATAGAAATATGTAAAATAAAACTAAAAATGACAAAAGCACATAACAAAATTGGTACAACTAAAATTAAACCTTTAAATATACAAATACAAGTCAATTTAAAATGTATAAGTACTATATAAATAATACTAAAATAACACTTTTTAATGTCAATAGCCAGAAGCACAAATGTCCTCCATCTCATCCACTAAAGATTTACCTTTTGAAGAATATTAGCTTTTGGAGATATACAGTGATACCAAGAAGTATTTCGAAATATGTCTGAATGTTCCATTAGACCACAAAATATCTAGCCACATGGCATCTGCAAACAAATGATGCCACAGCTTTACTGAGAACTAAGGGAGCATTTACTAACTACCAGAAAGTCTCCAAATAATATTTGTCTTCATTCTGAACTGTGTATCTACCTTTTTATCATTTAAAAAAAGAACTGTGCTTGTGCTTTCTTTCTGTGAACTAAATGCCACTTGCTTTAGTATTTTGTTATTGAATACAATACAAAAATGAACATGTTTTGGGGTCACTTGATGAAGTGTTCTCTTTCTCTCTCTCTCTCCCAGTGTGCGGTTTCGTGGTCCACAAACGCTGCCATGAATTTGTTACTTTTTCCTGCCCAGGGGCCGACAAGGGCCCTGCATCAGATGTAAGTGAAGCCTTACTAGACAACAAGCAACTCCCTCACCCACCCCCTTTCTATCCATCAGCTTCTCTTACGCCATCTTTTCTGATGAAAATACACTTCCTTTCTGTTGAAAGAAACTACTTCCTGTGACTAAGCAGTACACACAAACACACACTTATTCATGTATACACACTGCATGGTGAGAAGTTTAAATATTTATTAAGTGGTAACTGATTATGTACTGTTTAATGAAGCCTAACACTAATCATGTTCCTCATGTGTTTGCTTGCACTATATAATCACGTGCACACAGGCAGAGACATCAGTTTTCTCTTCTCTAATCTCTATTTATAACCACGCTTCCTCCCTGTATGTGTAAAACCAGGCGCACACATGCAACACATCCTGTGTTGTGCTTTGTTTCTGCATTGCAGCCAATTATATTTGTTTTCCTTTGAATGATGCTGTACATGACAAGCGATGTTTGTTGCATATCCGTTGTGTAATGCTGCTGTGTAGAAAAGCTTTAAAATCTTGACCTTTACACCATTGACTCCTGTACAAAAACTTGAAGCATGTGTTGAATAATTAGATCATTAACTTGCTTTTGTTTAATTGTTTAACTTGCACTTGTTGGCATCCTTTAAACAAATGAAAAGCAGCTATCAAAATTCTGCTTCTTCATATAGCTGCACTTCATTTTTTTTATAGGAATATTTGCTGCATTTTATTTCTTGGGTCTCTACATTGGTGCCCCCTAGCTGTAGAAATTTAGCATATTGTTTCATATAGTGCCTCAACATCCACTGAATTGTTTTTTGATTCCTTCTTGTACACTCACCTAAAGGATTATTAGGAACACCATACTAAGACTGTGTTTGACCCCCTTTCGCCTTCAGAACTGCCTTAATTCTACGTGGCATTGATTCAACAAGGTGCTGAAAGCATTCTTTAGAAATGTTGGCCCATATTGATAGGATAGCATCTTGCAGTTGATGGAGATTTGTGGGATGCATATCCAGGGCATGAAGCTCCCGTTCCACCACATCCCAAAGATGCTCTATTGGGTTGAGATCTGGTGACTGTGGGGGCCATTTTAGTACAGTGAACTCATTGTCATGTTCAAGAAACCAATTTGAAATGATTCGAGGTTTGTGACATGGTGCATTATCCTGCTGGAAGTAGCCATCAGAGGATGGGTACATGGTGGCCATAAAGGGATGGACATGGTCAGAAACAATGCTCAGGTAGGCCGTGGCATTTAAACGATGCCCAATTGGCACTAAGGGGCCTAAAGTGTGCCAAGAAAACATCCCCCACACCATTACACCACCACCACCAGCCTGCACAGTGGTAACAAGGCATGATGGATCCATGTTCTCATTCTGTTTACGCCAAATTCTGACTCTACCATCTGAATGTCTCAACAGAAATCGAGACTCATCAGACCAGGCAACATTTTGGTGAGCTCTTGCAAATTGTAGCCACTTTTTCCTATTTCTAGTGGAGATGAGTGGTACCCGGTGGGGTCTTCTGCTGTTGTAGCTAGGGATGCACCGAAATGAAAATTCTTGGCCAAAACCGAAAAAGAGGAAACCAAGGCCGAAAACCGAAACACAGAAAGAAATTATGCCAATTATTAGTACCATTGCATTTATGGCTATGACTGTGTACAAACTTTACTAAAATCAAGGCATTGCAATTGCATAAATTAATATACAATTTTCAAAGAATAAATCAATTACAAATTATGCAAATATTGATTTAGCACAATGCACAGTATAAAATAAAATTCAAACTAAAATGTTTAACTTGACCCCACTCATGTGTACATTAAATAATAATCTACTGGCCTGCAGAAAGGTTTTAAAATTAAATGTTCTCTCATAAAAACAAAGCCGAGCACGAACTTCTCATCACACCAGCACTCAGTTTGCACGTCTAAATGAGTTGCTTACATTTTAAAAAATGAGCATACAATAGCATAAAAAGCCTTTTTAATGAACAAAGGTCCATGTTTAGTACAAATGTACACGAAACTTAATGAAATATGTTTAGTGAAATTAGAAAATATTTAAGAGAGCGTTAATTTAGTTGTATACACATGTTCCCATATACATATTTTTTTGTAATGTCACAAGTAATAATCTCAGGGTTTACTGGGTTTTACATGATTATTTGTGTATTGGTGGTGGTATACTAAAAAATAAACATTGTCACGTGTTTATCTTTCTTCTACTCACCGATTCCTGATGGTTAGAGGACAGTTACTTGAGTCGTCCCCTGTCGTTTCAAAGAATAGTACAACGGCGAGCGCGTCAAGTATAAACGCCTCGACCGTTTGGAGAGGTGCGCGCGCTGTCTGTGGAGACTCGCGCTGCGGAGGCAGGCGAAAGTATAAACAAGGCTTCCGTCTCCTCGCGAGTTCAGATATACTGAAATACGTCCACACCGCAGACATGTTGCTTCAGACAAGCACGTGCAGGTCGCGGTTTCTGTTTGCGTCATCACAACATTTCGGCCGTATTGTTTCGGTGATAAAAGTCTTTCTTCAAGAGATTGTCTTGACCGGGACCACAGCCCTAAATGCATTGAAGCAACTGCCATGTGATTGGTTGATTAGATAATTGCATTAATGAGAAATTGAACAGGTGTTCCATAATAATCCTTTAGGTGAGTGCGCTGCATTTGGCCCTTTGCTAAGCTCTATCCATTTTTCTGTCCATATTTCTTGCAATTGTTTTTTAAATCAAAGTCCATAGTCGAGAAGACTTTATTGGAAAGGAATTACAACTGATAACATTAGTGCAGGGTTATCAGTAAACTAAAACTAGAACCGTAAAAAACATCAAGTAAAACATTCCTTGAAAATTAATTATTTCGTTTCAGCTAGTTATTTTTCATTTAGTTTAACTTGATGTACTAAAATAACTAAGTAACCCTGAAATAAAATATATTAAAAACTATTTAGACATACTTAAAAAAAACTGAAACATAAAAATGAAAAATGAAAAAAAAACTGCAAAATTACTAAATCTTCAACCATAATTAAAATGATAACAGAAAATATATAAATGAAAACTTGTTCAAAATATCAATAAAAACTATAATATTATATCAATGTAATTAAAATAACACTGCATTATTGTAGGTGAACAGATCTGTTTCTAATGTATTTGCTATGATATGATGAATTCCAATAACTAACATTAATCACTGTGTAATTTAAATGATGTTAAGACAACATTAGAGCAGCTGTAGCTGTTCCTTCTGATTTTCTACATGTTCAATTGGAAATAAGTGTGTGTGTGTGTGCGCGCGTGTGTGTGTATTTTTGTTTTCTTATTTTAATTGTTATTTATTGATTTAACTAAATATCACAAAATGTAGCTTTGCTTTGCTTCTGAATTATTGTTGTAACCTGAGGTTTAGTAATACTGTCCTGTTGAGGTAGTTTCTTACTTTAATAAGAAAGTATTGTGTGTTTATGTCACAGGACCCTCGCAGTAAGCATAAATTCAAGGTACACACATACTCCAGCCCCACATTCTGTGACCACTGTGGATCTCTACTGTACGGGCTCATACACCAGGGGATGAAATGTGACAGTGAGTCTAAACCTACACACACACACACACACACACACTCACTGAACCAACAGTGTGTTGGTTCACAATGAAACCCCTCATACAGTGACCTCTGCTGGTTGTGATGATGCATTATGATACACTGTTTGATCTACTCTGTTGGAAGAGATAAACTTATTTTTATTTTTATTTAAATATTTTGTTCTTTAATATTTCATATGTTTAAATAATTGTATGTGTGGTTCACATGTAAATACAGCTGTTTATTAAGTATTCTGTATTTATTTTTGCTAGTGTGGGTGTGACTCTGTGTGTGTGTGTGTGTGTGTGTGTGTGTGTGTGTGTGTGTGTGTGTGTGTGTGTGTGTGTGTGTGTGTGTGTGTGTGTGGGTGGGTGGGTGTGTCCTGGTGTCTGCTGTGTTTGTGTGGGCATTTCTTAGTAAGTAGTGAGTGAGAAGTATTGAGTGAAAACCTACACGTGTAATGCTGTCAATCTAATTATGTGTGGTTTTCTGCAGCTTGTATGATGAATATTCATAAACGATGTGTGGAAAATGTTCCCAGTCTGTGTGGAACAGACCACACCGAGAGGAGAGGACGGCTGCATATCAGTGCTAGTATCACAAATTTAGTTCTCACCGTGACCAGTAAGTTCTCACACACACACACACACACACACACACACAGTTTTTATACATATGTTATTAATGTTATTAAAATCAGATAATTTAGCAATTCACAACACCCCCTGCAAAAACCCAGAACACTGTAACATCTAAAAATTACCCTAGTAACCACATAGCACACATAGTAACCACTCAGAACACATTAGCAATCGCATAGCAATGTCCTGGCAACCAGATCAGCCACATAGCAATGTCTTGGTTTGCTGGTTTTAGCTGGTCTCTTGGCCTGGTCAGGCTGGTCTATACAATATCCTTCAAAAGTTTAATACTTAATTGATAGAATTTAATACTTCATTAAATCATCAAGGACGCATTAAATTTACCAAAAGTGACATTAAATACATTTATAATGTTACAAAAGATTTCCATTTCAAATAAATGCTGTTCTTTTGAACTTGGTATTCATTACAGTATCCTGAATAAAATGTTTAAGGTTTCCACAAAATATTAAGGGGCGAAAGTTGTTTTCAACAATGATAATAGTAAGAAATGTTCCTTGATCACCAAATCAGCATATTAGAATGATTTCTGAAAAATCATGTGTCACTGAAGACGGGACTGAAGTAATGGCTTTGCCATCACAGGAATTAAAAAGGAGTTTTGACCACTTTTCAGATGCTCAGGCTAATCTAGCTGAACTCAAGTCTGTTCAGTTGAGGACCAGCTAAAACCAATTTAAAGCAGCTTGACCAGCAAAAATAACACTTTTGGTTTGGTAACCGATTGGTTGATCTGATTGGTTGTCTAGGTTTATAACCCCAGACACTACAAAATAGTATTTTAGGTCGCACTACCTGTGTGTGGATATTTGGTCCTGGCATGGATAAAGAGTTTATTGTTTTAGAGTTAACCCTTTACAATAAGGTCCCATTAGTTAATGCATTAACTAACAATGAGCAATACATTTGTCTCAGTATTTGTCCATCTTTGTTAAAGGGGTTTTATAATGTTTCCTGGGTGCACTTATAATGTTTGTATGATTTTTACATAAATAAATAAAAATATTTAGAAATAAAAGATATTTGTCCTACCCTGATTTGGCCCCTCTAATTTGAACGCTCTGTTTGAAGGGGAGTGTCTTCTGTGAGACTTCAGTGTTACTACCACTGCTGTGATTGGCTGACATCTGTGCAAATGAAATAGACAAGTATTACATGTGGAAAACTTTACGCACGTTTTTACTATTACAGTTCTCAAGGTTTACTAATCGTGTTATAGCGTGGCATGAAAGGTTGCACATTCCACATTGAGTCGTTATCTGGGCTCGTTACTATAAAAGCTGCTTTTGGACTAACACGGACGTTTTCAGGTCTGAAACTTACAGGATATTCTTATAGTGTGATGACCTCGTATATGTCAAAAGCTCAAGGACAATTGTATTTCCCAGTTCATGACCCTTTAACGTTAGTTCATAAAAACACAACTGTTCATTGTTAGTTCATGTCATGTTCATGTTAGATTTTAATGTATTGATAATGTAAATGTTGAAATTAACATGAGCTAAGATTAATAAATGCTTTTTTAGAAGTATTTTTTATTGTTCATATAAACTAATGTAATTAACACGTGTTTACAAATGGACCTTATTGTATAGTGTTACTGGTCATTTGTGCTTCTTTTTTTTATTGGTCAGTTGCTTTTCCAAACAAATGCTCTGATGATAATTTACTCATCTTTATGGACTGAGGTTACTGAGGAAGGGCTTTGTTCAGAAACTAGAAAACCCACAGCTGTGCTGGTTTTGAATATGGAATGTTATAAGCAAATATGGTCAGTGCTGTTGTGGCTTATGTGATATATTAGCTGGGCAGAAAGCAAACTGCTTTACTAGCTTGAACTTACAGACAAGCATGCAAATCAGTAGAACAAGAGAAGAGAATGGAATGTAAATGTTGCAAAAATGGTGAAGTGTGAATGTTTTTAGCTTGGCTAAAGATGATTTCTAGATTCTCGATTAAAAAAAAAAAAAAAAAAAAAAACTCAGCAACAAAGTGTTCTAAACGAGTCTGTGTTTTTCTAAGCTCTTTTTGCCTTGGGCAGAAACAGCATCCTCTGGAAACATGAGATCAATCCGCCAACGATCGCCCCACATCCCATTCACTGCAGCTCACTCATCCATCAGCTCTCTAGAGCTACATTTAGAGGGCTGTGTATATAGATAGCTGAAGTTTCATACAATTTGCCTATTATTTATAGCATTCTTACAGATTCTTGAGTGCCAAAAGGTTGAAATTCTTATAATATAATCCTAGCAACTAACTTGTACACCATGGCAACTGCCTGGCACAGCCTGATCAAACAAAAAACCTTAGCAAAAAATTGAGATAATGCTGAATTGAATGAGATGAAATCTAATTTAGATCAAATGGAGTTATAAGGTTTCCGAAGACATAATAATGCTTTAAAGTCCTCCATTCATTGGTTTTGACATTGTGTATTTTAATTTATAGTCAAGGAGGCTCGTAACTTGGTGCCAATGGATCCAAATGGACTATCAGATCCATACGTGAAGCTTAAGTTAATTCCAGACCCAAAGAGCGAGAGCAAGCAGAAGACCAAAACCATCAAGTGCTCCCTCAATCCTACCTGGGATGAACACTTCAGCTTGTGAGTGAAAAATAAACCAATCTGCAATGCAGTTGTGTGGATGTGGATGTTTTACATGTGTGCAATGTCTCTTTCCATCTTCATGCCACCATAGTAACCTCAAAGATACAGATAAAGACAGGCGTTTGTCAGTGGAGGTGTGGGATTGGGATCTGACCAGCAGGAATGACTTCATGGGGGCCATGTCTTTTGGCATCTCCGAGCTGCAGAAACAAGGTGTCGATGGATGGTAAGCACTACCATGATGGGATACACCTGCACATCAGACCTCAGTGCTCGAGGTTTGAGAGCATCGTTTTGATCTGTTTGGATTGTAGGTTTAAGTGTCTGGGCCAAGAGGAAGGGGAATATTTCAATGTTCCAGTTCCACCAGATGGAGAGGAGGGCAATGAAGAACTGAGGCAGAAATTTGAGGTGAAATCCAACTTCGACACATTTTTATTTTATTTTTTACAATTAGCTTTCCTCCCTTTCTGACAATATTCTGAACATTTTTGTGTGTTTTTTTTCTTCTTCCAAAAACTCCAGAGAGCCAAGATCGGCCCTGGCACTAAGAATATAGATGGCTCTTCAAAGAATGATATCTCCAAATATGATGCCAATGGCAACCAAGACCGCATGAAGCTCACAGACTTCAACTTCATCATGGTGCTGGGCAAAGGCAGCTTTGGCAAGGTAGCACACACTATTGTTTATCTTTTTCTTTTTCTTTTTAAGAAATGAATACTTTTATTCAGCAAGGACATATTCAATTATTTAAAAGTGGCAATACAGTCAATATTTCTGAAGGATCATGTGACTCTGAAGACTGGAGTAATGATGCTGAAAATTCAGCTTTGCCATTAGAGGAATAAATGACATTTAAAAATATATTTAAATAGAAAACGCTTATTCTTATTTGTAATATTATTTTACAGTATACTAAGTAACGTATATAAGGAGGACACTGTTAAATAAAATGTTACCAAAAAATCTTACAAACCCCAAACCTTTGAATGGTAGTGTATGTTTAGTATTTATAAAAGGATTTAAAAGTCTGTTCTTTTTCAAGACTTGTTGAATAGTCAGAAAAGTATAAGGGAAAAAAACTATTAAAAACACAACATTGTACCCCATACTTATCAGTGAATAATTTAAAGAGACCCTTTTAACAGCAAATTTATTTATAAATGAAATACATATGGGGCGTTTAACAAAAAAACATGTAATTTTATAGGCTTCATATTATGTTATTTAACTCTCATCATGTCAATTATACATAATTATACTCAATATTTACACATTTATTTTACATTGAAATTAAACTATCAATTAATAATGCTATTATTTGAATATCTATCGCAGTATTCATGCTCTGTCGTTCTCCAGGTGATGCTTGCCGAGCGTAAAGGCTCAGATGAGCTGTACGCAGTGAAGATCTTGAAGAAGGACGTGGTCATTCAGGATGATGATGTGGAATGCACTATGGTGGAGAAGAGAGTTCTCGCTCTCTCTGGCAAACCGCCCTTCCTCACCCATCTCCACTCCTGCTTTCAGACCATGGTAAACATCACACACAGAGAACAGATTCACATACACATGACAAACACAATGATCTCCTACTCAATTGTGTTGTTGTTGTTGTTGTTGTTGTTGTTTGTAGGACCGCCTTTACTTCGTGATGGAGTATATCAATGGTGGAGATTTGATGTATCAGATACAACAAGTGGGAAAATTTAAGGAACCCCATGCTGTGTATGTATTTACTCCCAAACACACAAAACTCTTAAATAATGACAAAATTAATGAGATAATTATTCATTTGATTATTTATTAAACAAAGTAGTATTTTTAAGACTGCTTTATAGTTAAGAATTTAATGGCTTCTGACAATTCAGCTTTTGCCATCACAGGAATAAATTACATTTTAAAATATATTATAATTGAAAAAGTTATTTTTAATGGCAATATTGTTTCACAATATTATTATTTTTACTGTATTTTTGATCAAATAAATGCAGCCTTGATGAGCAGAGAGACTTCTTTCAAAAGCATAAAAATCACACCAACCCCAACCTTTTAGTTTAGTGTGTATTTTAAAATATATATTGTGAAATATTTTATAATATTTAAAAGTATTTAAAGTTCAAGCCATTCCATAAAAGCAATCATTATAGTCATTGATTTGTGGTGTGTCTAATTTTGAATATGAATGTTTATGCTAACCAACAAAACTACTGTTTTTTAGATTTATTCCTACATTAGATCAGTATTTTAACTGGTTTTAATTTTATTTTTTGTTTACCATCAGGTTCTATGCTGCAGAGATTGCCTTCGGCTTGTTCTTTCTTCATTCTAAGGGCATTATTTACAGGTGACATGTTTGTTGTTTGAACGGGGGGGGGTTGGGGGGGGGGTTGAACGGTGAAAGTAAGCATAAAAGTTAATTGCAGAATTGCAATGCATTATTTTTTTTGTCAATATACCACTGTTGTGCAAATTGTCTTTTTTTTAAATTAAATTATGAATAGAACCAAAATAATGGAATCAAATATCATGATGCATTGCATTGTTATTAAAGAACTGTAATCAAATTGTTGTGATAGCAAATAATTACTAATATATGTGTGTATGTGAACTGTTTTTTGTGCCCTGGGTTTGTGTAGAGATCTGAAGCTGGATAATGTGATGTTGGATGCTGAAGGCCACATTAAGATAGCTGATTTTGGCATGTGCAAAGAGAACATGTTTGATGGGACCACAACCAAAACCTTCTGTGGCACTCCAGACTACATTGCCCCAGAGGTGTGTATGAATATATGAGTGTATTGTGTGAATTACAGCGAGTGTACACCAGGCATATAAATGCTCTTCTGTGTAACAGATCATAGCATATCAACCGTATGGGAAGTCTGTTGACTGGTGGGCTTATGGAGTTCTCCTGTATGAAATGCTGGCGGGACAGGTAAACTAATGCTACGTTCATTCTGGGTCTAAATTCCGATCGGATGAGCCATTTTTAAAAGAAATTGTGATAGATACAGTGATGCCAATGTTTTTCCACTCCTTTAGCCCCCTTTTGATGGTGAGGATGAAGATGAGCTATTCCAGTCCATCATGGAGCATCATGTATCTTACCCGAAATCCATGTCAAAAGAAGCAGTGGCCATATGCAAGGGGGTAGGCGACACACACAAGCACATGCTTTATACATTTTGTTCTATGCTTGGATACACTGACAGACATTCTGACATGTTTGTAGCTGATGACCAAGCACCCAGGGAAGCGTCTGGGTTGTGGACCGGAGGGAGAACGAGACATTAAGGAACACGCTTTCTTCCGCTACATGGACTGGGAAAAGCTGCAAAATAAAGAAGTTCAACCCCCCTTCAAACCCAAAGCAGTAAGTGATAATGCAGCTGTGCGTGTGCATGTGTGTGTTTGGTTACATTTTATTTCGATAGTCCACTTTAGACATTCTACTAACTTTTTAATTTTTAGTAGACTGTCTGCTCAATATCTGCTAAAGGCCGGGACACACTAAGTACGTGGGGAAACGTTACTTAGTTTTTCTGTTGTGTTCTGCACAGTTGGCTGTAGTCAGACGCCATCTGGGTTTTTTTTAGCATATTGAATCTCCGTTGGGCGAACTCTGATTGGCTGTTCAGCTTAGCGAACGAGTCAGTGCACGAGAATAAAAGCGAAATTGATGAAAGCGAGCTAAGAAGTTAAGACGGTACTGACAGAATGCTTATAATTTTACGTCATCCTGCATGAGCTTTCGAATGCACAAATATTTTTATAATAACATGAGCCTTCTGGAATCAAGAAAGTGATCAACGTGATTGATATTCAAAATTGTAAGCAAGCGCTGCTTTGTTTACGGTTTGTATGTTTGCAGTCCTAGTTTTGGTTTCCCTTTTTGAATGATGAAAATAGACTATTGATGCCTGCTGATACAGACAGATATTTACTTACACGCAGGCGAAGAGTTGACAGTTGCCTTTAGTCCTTTTGGTGTGTGTTCAAGCACAGCTTTTTGGCCGAGAGGCGGCAACACAGTCGGCTTTCGTCTCCGCTAGTTCTTTGACGTCGGCTTGGTGTGTCCCAGGCTTAACACTGTATTTTGATGGTCCCCAAAAGACACTCTACTGACTATAAGTAGCTTTGCAGGTACATGTCAACTTATTCTACTAACCCTAACCTAAAAGTGTAATAATACTCTAATGAGAGTTAGTTGACATGTAGTTGCAAATTAATGAGAGTTTGTCTACATGTAGTTGCAAAGTTACTAGTAGTAGAATGTCTAAAGTGGACCATCTAAATAGTGTAATTTTGTTTATAACAGGAGTGTGCATTGCAGCACATGTGGTAATAAAGTACAATGGCAACCTTTTTACACTTCTCTATCTCCTAGTACACTGTATTTTAGCATATATCTGTTATTTAAGTGCCTAATTTTCAGAGAAGTGCATTGTGGCCAAGATGATGTGGTTCCAACTGTCTCAGTGCAGGAAGTAAAGCGTCACAGTTCATGCTCTGCTGTTAAACCGCAAAGATTATGTGAACACTAATATGTGAAGGTTTGCTTTCAGATTCAGATGCACGAATGTTGTAGAAAACATTAATGCATTTTTGAGCATTTTAAGACTTTAAGCATTTTGACTGTGCAGATTTTATGGGTTTCCAGTGTTGTTTAGTGTGGTCTGACACAGGATGTGGAAATACAGTGACCCCAAAACATATTTGGACGCCTAAACCACACGAAAATGTATGAATGGCATTTATTTTAAGGAAGTATAGCACACTTTAAGAAGAACATTTCATAAAAAATAAGTTATTAATGATAAAACAACAGCTGATTTGGCTGAACAATGTGCAAGCGATTAATGGTAATCCATTGCTTATATATATATATATATTAGGGCTGTCAAATGATTAATCGTGATTAATCACATCCAAAATAAACGTTTTTTTTACATAATATATGTGGGTGCACTGTCTATCATTATTTTATATATATAAATACACACACATGCTTGTATATATTTAAGAAATATTTTCATGTATATACTGTATATAGATTTATATCTAATTTATATTATATATAAATATAAATATTTTATATATAAATAATATATTTTTCTTAAATATACATGCATGTGTGTGTATTTATATATATATATACAAAATAATTATACACAGTGCACCCACATATATTATGTTAAAAAAACTTTTATTTTGGATGTGATTAATCGTGATTAATCATTTGACAGCCCTAATATATATATATATATATATATATATATATATATATATATATATACACATACACACACACTACTGTTCGGTAAGATTTTTTAATGCTTGTGAAAGAAATGTCTTATGCTCACCAAGGCAGCATTTATTTGCTAAAAAAAAAAAAAAGTAATAGTGTGAATTATTCAAATTTAAAATAACTGTTTTCAATTTGAATATATTTTAAAATATAACTTATTCCTGTGATGGCAAAGCTGAATTTCCAGCATTACTCCAGTCTTCAGTGTCACATGATTCTTCAGAAATCATTCTAATATGCTGATTTGCTGCTCAAGAAACATTTATTATTATGATGAATGTTGAAAATAGTTGTGCTGCTTCATATTTTTGTGGAAACAGGGATACCATTTTTTTTCAGGATTATTTGATGAATAAAAAATTCAATGAATAGTATTTATTTGAAATGGAAAACTTTTGTAACAATGTCACTTTTGATCAATTTGATGAATCCTTGTTGTATATAACGGTATTTATTTTATTTATTGATGGTAAAAAATCGTACTGACCCAAATCTTTTGTACGGTTTATATATGCAATTTTATATTTTAAATGAAGTTTAGTTCTAATAATTAAAGTGACAATAATGCTAAAGTAATTGCCTATGTTTTATTTTTAAGCGTATCTTGTATGAGTGTATCCATGGCAACTAGGCATTTAAAATCATGTCGTACATGTCGTACATGTTAAGAGAGTTTAAGAGATTTTCCAGATCATTACTAAACACCTGCTCTTATTTGTTACCAAATGCTTTTAATAGAAATTGCATTATGAGTATTTTATGTTTCATTTGATTATTTTCACTTCTTTGTGATGAGTCTTTGTGTATAGATGATCATATAACAGTGCTGCCAGAGTCAGGTTAATGTTAGATAATAAGTGTATATGTCTAATAATGCATTGGACTGTGGGCTGATTGGCCAGTTTAGTAAGCCCTGCCCCAGTTCAGAATAAACATTGAACTATTTCATTAAAATGATTTCATCCATTCACAGGTAAGTGATTTGGATACAGATACCTTATTATTTTCTCACTATCCCTCTTCACTCACATCTTTTGCAATACTTGGAATTGTCCAATTCCACGGATCACATTTTTCTGAATGCTGCCCCTTCATCAGCTGAAAACAAAATCTTGCTTTAACATGTGCTGACTTAAGTAAAATAATTCGCAGCATCAGAAATATGTTTCCACCACAGAAAATGATGTGCATGAAATGTTTTGCAGGAAGGTGATTGTAATCCTAATATATTTTAGTTATGCAATACAGATATGTGCTCATCATTTTCTATCATTACACATTCCCTCAATTAAGACTGTTAGTACAGAAGTAGCGTTGTTGTTATTATTACCACACTTTTGGATGGATTTTTTTCCCATTTCTTTTTTTCCCGCACTTGAGGCTTCCATTTGTCATGAATTCCTCATTTGGTTGCTCATGCCGTATCATCATTTTCCCATCCCATATCTCTCTTCTCTCGTCTTCTCCACAGTGCGGTCGAGACGCAGAGAACTTTGATCGTTTTTTCACCCGCCATCCTCCCGTCCTGACCCCTCCTGACCAAGAAGTGATTCAAAACCTGGACCAAGAAGAATTTCAGGGCTTCTCGTACATTAATCCAAGTTTTGCATCTGTGAAATCCAAGTAGCCAGTTTTAGCCAAGCACAATATAGGGACCAATGAGATTACAAATCTTGAAATTACATAGTTTGAATGAGCCAATGAGAGAGTTCAACCAGATTGATGGAGGTAATTTCAATCTATATTTGTTATTATTTCTTGTTTGAATCAAAGGATCAGGAGAGAGACTGACTAACTTTGTAAATCAACTTATAATGAGTGAGTGTGTGCGAGATTTTGACTATTTGATGCTTGTATATCATGGACTGTAGTGTTACGGGTCTCAAAAAACTGTCCAAAAAGTGTCCACGTCCCATTTCATGGTTTTGATTTTCCCAAAATCAATATATTTTGCAAAAAGAAATGAGCCTGTTTTGGGAGCATAATGATTTTTTTTTTTTTTTTTTTTCATTATGATGAGAATCAAACAAATAACATGCTTAATTGTGATGAGAACGTCACAATGCAAAAAAAAAAAAGTTTTAAAATTAGGTTTAATTTTCTTTATCCTTGCAGAGCCCTGCACATAAAATGCGGGGAGAAAAAAAAATATGCACATTGTGGCCACGGATTAAGAGTTCGTTCCCACGACTTAATAATACATCAGCATGTTTTAATCATTTGTTCCCTCTTTTTAAGTATATCATGCACACAATATAATAATTTGTTTCTTTAATTTGACCGATTGTGGCCACGTTGTAATAATTAATTTCCTTGTTTTATTTAAATCCATTAGTGGCATGATTTACTGAAACGAGGGAACGAATTCTTCATTTGTGGCCACAAAATATAGTTTTGTCCGCATGTCATGTCCGGGGGCTCCGTATATTCCAAATGTTTCTTCTTTTTTCCCCAGTTTGGAGTGAAATGTGACCTGGACATGTCCCCGACAGGTTTTATGAGATTCATTGATTGCCTCTGATGTAACATATCTTTAGAATTTTAAATATAGCTGCCAAATCTATCTGTCTCCCCATAACATACACACACACTTACACAAACCATGCGCCTCAGATGAACCATTTACCACTTATTGATCAGGATGTTTACTGGGTCACCCCATTTTAGTGCTTTTTTCGGTTGGGTGTCGTACGTGTGTTTTTGTGAAACTGTGCCAAGTCAGAGATAAAAGTGTAGGAGCTGGTCATGCAACGTGTAGTTTTCCAACCAGTGCTGCTTGGATACTCATAACCACATCCTTAAACCAACTGGAAATGATAGTGATGTAACTACAACAACTTAATTCCAGACATGATGATGATGATGATGATGTTGTAACTACTTACGAGAACATATCTTTTTATGTCATTATTCTGCCAAATCTGTGATGTATGACCTTTTTTTTGACTTGTTACCTGTGCCTGGCAGTGTTTGGATCAAATTACTGTGAAACTGTGAACAGACTGTTTCTATAGAGGAAAATATATGAATATGTATTTGGAATATATTAATGATCTCTGTATGTCTGTATATTTTCCTCCTCTGTGTTTATTCTTGCACACACAAACAGTGCCGAAACAAAGTATCTGGATAATGACATTTTAGATATTTACGTTAAAATATATAGGCCATAATATGTACCATACGTTTTAGATGAATATGAATACAGCTGGTGAATATATGTCTGCTTAAGAGATGTCTTTAATATTTCTCAATGTTTCTGAGTCTGTAAGATTTATGTTTTTGAAAGAAGTCTCTTGTTCTCACCAAGGCTGCATTTATTTGATCAAAAATACAGTAAAACAAAAAAAACATTATAATTATTATTTAAAAACACTTCTTTTTTAACATGTTTAAAAATGTCATTTATTCCTGTGATCTCAAAGCTGAATTTCCAGTGTCATATGATCCATCAGATTTGGTGCTCAAGAAACTATTTTTATTTTTGTGAAAACCTGAAACTTTTTTTTTTTTTTCAGGATTCTTTGATGAATAGAAAGTTTAAAAGAACAGCATTTATTTGAAACATAATTATTTTATCTTTATTGGTACTTTGATCAATTGAATGCATCCTTGCTGAATAAAAGTGTCAATTTCTTTCTTTCAAAAAAAAAAAATCTTTTAAATGATCCGTTGAGTATAAAGAAAACAAATTCCAGCTACAGCGATACCAGATACTTGGGCAGGATAATCCAGCAGGGAAAGGATGATTATTGACATAAGATGTGATAAATAGTGATAAATGTTCACAATGTGAACAGTTAATAATTCTCCACAATGCAAGTACACTTTCACTAATTGACCAGTGTTCAAAATATTCGATCAACTCTTCTGAACTCGTACATGCTTAACAACTATTACCAATTGCATACCTGCAAAATAGCGAACAGCAGATCCATCTGAGAACAAAAGGGAGTGTTTCATATAAATTGTGCATTTGGACTTCTGGTTCTCATGAGAACATGATGGCGCAGTTATTGAGTAGATACAGGGACCAGACTCTCAAGAAGTACTCTTCTCCAAGGGCCCGTATTCTTGAGCTGGTTTGGGCCTCTAGCAGAAGGTAGGACCTTGTTGATTGTCCTGTCTTGACTGAAAGGGCATTTGGTGTCTCTGTTCCTGGTTTATGTGTTTAGCCTAACTTCCTTGAGCTGTTTGTCTCCAGTTGGTGGCTGGACTTGATGTCCAAACGTTCATCTCATTCTCATGAGTGTGTTTTAGATGTTAATGGTCCAGTCTGCTCTCCTCTGTTCTGTCCCTCTATGTTTTTTGTGTTTTAATTCTGCCTATTCGACTGACTCTCAAAGTTCTGTTTTGTCTTCTGATGTAACCAGCTGTGGGTTCCTCTTCATCAGTTTCCTCCTCTTGGTCTTTTTTTTGCTGTTTCCGACTTCTAGACTGATTATCCTCTGTGATGTTTTTTGTGTTGTCTTACAGATATGCGTTCATAATGATAGACGTTAGCTTTAAAGTCTACATAAAACCTAAGTGGTCCCTATTTGATTGCTTAATACACATTTTTTTCCAAAGTGCCTAAATCATCAACTTGCTCCGTTATCGAAACCATTTTACTTTTCTGCTGATGTCACCAAGGCCTTGTGGGCTATTGGATAATGTTAACCAATTAGCAATTTCCCATGGATCAAGTTTTTCTTGTTGAATATCATGTTTCAGTCAGAAACGCACTGCATTGTGGAAGTTTTAAAAAAAGTTGTAAGATGTCTGATTCTTTTTTTTTAAATCGCATTTTGTAGAGGTGGAAAAATCAGACAGTAGATACAGTCAAACAAATCTTTTTACAACATCTATTAATGTTTTTCATTTATAAATATACATCGTTGTTCTTTCTCAACACAGTGATTCATTCATGTTAATTTATGCAACTTCAAAAGTTTGGGGTCTGTAAGATTTAAAAAATACTGTATATAATACATTTATTCAGCAAGGATGTAAAAGTGACACTGAAGACTGGAGTAATGATGCTGAAAATTCAAAATTCAACAGGAATAAATTACATTTTAAAATATTATGCACCATGAGCCGGAGGTTTCTTTCAAAAACATTAAAAAAAAAATCTTACTGACCCAAAACGTTTGCATGGTAGTTCTAACCTAAACATGATAAACGTTATGATCAGATTCATGGTCACATTCATAACTCTCTTTCTCTCTTTTTCTTCCAGAAAAATCGCCGTGACACTGGGAATTTCGACAAGGAGTTCACCAAGATGGTGGTTGAGCTGACACCAACGGATAAACTCTTCATTATGAATCTGGACCAAAATGAATTCCAAGGCTTCTCCTACACCAACCCTGAGTTTGTTATTCAGGTTTAACACCAAACTCCAATCGATTGCTCCTTTAGTGAGAGAAGGAGACGCTCGATCGTATTACCCAGAAAGCATTATTTTGTCCCAGTGCATCCTGATTGTCCTCTCTCTTCACTTAAAAAGGCACAAAACCAGCAGGATCAAACAGAACCAAACCAGGATTTACTCAGTTTTTCAACCAAGGCCTCGGAAACTCTTGAAATTGAATTTGACAGAGGAGAGAGAACGGTTATAAAAGAGTGTATTCATAGTCTCCATGAGAATGTCTTGTCTTTTCATCTCCAAGAGAATTATCCTACCTCTTTCTTTTATACATTCTCTCCATATATTCAGTCAGCTTTTTACTGCAGCCCCTCGTTTCCAGATGAATTAGCCTGACAACATGCAGCACTAATGGACTTGTTTCTCCAGAGCTAATTAAGCCTTACGCAACCTTGAACCTTTTAAGTTCAAATCGGGATTCAATTATATCAATTCAAAGCAAAGTTCCAGTGCGTCTGTAAATGATAGATAAGCAAATATGCTCAAGCATCGCTAGATGTTCGTTTAAATGGTTGATATCTTTCAGCTTGCTCTGAGATTCTCAGCATTAGCATATCATCAGAAGCACAACAGTCAAATAATGATATCCTAATGGCCTTTAGTTTGCTACTGGCATAATGGCTTCTGTTCATGAGATGCTCTTAAAAATTAATTATTTGTGTATGTCATGGTAGCTGGAGGGAATATAGGCCATCAGGCTTCATTTATAATTTACATGCAACTCTAAAGCATGCACGTCAAGCTTTGAAAGTCAACATTTCTATGTTAAAACAATCACTTTAGTTTAGAGGCAAAACTATGTTGATTGTTTACCTTTGTTTTATATATCCTTTGGTATGAAGTATATTTGAAATAAATACAAATCTGATATTAAAAACAAAATCTTAAAGGTGTAGAAAGAGATTTCCGAGAAACATTGATATTTGAAATCTGTGCTCCTGTTATATGAGATTAAGTCATATTTATTATTAGATTAAAACTTAATATTATGACATAAAAAGCCATAATTATGATATAAATAGTTGAAATTTGAACACTGGGCCATTATGACATAAAAGTCAAAATTATGACCAAGTCGCAATAAGAAAAAGTCAAAATTAGCACATAAAAAGCCGAATTTGTTTATATATATATATGATTTTTTTTGTCATCCTTTTGATATAATTTTTTGACTTTTGTCATATGACTTTTAATGCCATAATTTATTTTATTCTTAGATTTTTTTTTTTAAATCATAATTATGATTTTTTTTTTATCTCAGTTGTGACTTGTCATGATTTTGACTTTTTAACTCATAATTATGACTTAATATGTCATAATTTAAACATTTAATGTCCGAATTATGATTTACCAAAGCATTATAGTTTTTTTCCTCTTCTTTTTTATTGAGAAGTTTACATAATTCCCATTTTAGGGCTAAAAAAAAACAAAGAGTTTGAGAATGAAACTTTCTGAAACCCCGACACAAAATGAAATCAAAAAGCAGTGACTGTAGCATCAAGTAATATGAAACAAATAGATGAAAATAAGCTTGCGGATAATGAGACATCTTTGAGGGCTCAGGACAAATGCTATTGTATGATATTACAGACTTCTGATTTGCAAAATGATGAGAATTACAAAAAGTGAGCCCTGATGTACTGGTAAATGTAGGGTCATTATGCACTTTCGACCTTTATTGCGTTTAAAGTATTACGTTTCACCATTTCTGTTCAATTGATTTGCAGACAGGTGACGGGTGCATGCGGCTGCAATCCTAAAGTGTGTTAGTGCTGTGAATTGAATTGGCATCAGAGGTTGGTCCATGCATATCACTGGCTGCAGAATGTGATTCTTGAGCTGAAAAACTCCAACTGGCAGTCTCGACTGAAACCCTTATGTGCCATATATTTGGTTGGGGAGTCTGCAGTGTTTAGGGACCTCATTATGTGCCATGTGTCTGTGTTAAACAGACTCCATAAGGAGTTTTAGTCTACCCTATGCATGCCTGGTAGAGCCCTTGCTCTTTAACTCGGTGTTTACTTATTAACCAAGTGTGTCAGTAATGGTTGGATCTGTTGTAGCATAGATCCTTATAAGGGTGATGGTGTTTAAACATTTCTATTTGTTAATGTTTCATTTTGTAATTAGATATATGAAATAGAAATATAAGTATTCTAGTCTTCCAAATGAAAACACATTGTGTGATCATGTAAACAGTGATAAGTATAATCTGCTTTTCCCGAGGTGATAAATGGAAAAGTGAGGATGATGTAAAGATAATATTTATTGTATAGTGTAAATGGAAGGACACAAGTTTATGAAGGACCTCTGTCCTGAACTAAAGATGTGAAAGCCAGAACGAAGGATAGAAAAGCTGTTATCTTAACTGGATTAAATAAGTGATTATACAAACTGACAGCCTTATTACCGTTCCTGTCCTGAACTATTTAATCGCTTTGGCATGTGTACAACTGTAAATTAATAATGTGGCCTTTACGTGATCAAAGTAATTGTCACACCTTTGAGAGAGAAAAAAAAAAACGTGCACATTTTAGCATTGTAAACCCCTTGCCCTGGTTCATTTTTTAGTTTTTCTATCATGTTTTAATGATGAAGACTTTAAAGGGCTTCCTGTACAAGAATCAATCCCCCAAAATGAGTTTTTATACTATGCAAGACAGATGCATGTCAACAACGACACACACACATTAACATCCAGACAGCAGCAGTGGGTGGCTTTGGGGGAGGGCTATCGCTGGTGATTGAGATATATTTTGCATGTTATTTATTTATGCTATGTGGATTATTAAAGCTGAAGTTTTCAAATGCCACTCTGTGTGTTCAAAACTTGTAAAATTGTGTTTTGATGATGGGTTACGAGTCCTTTTAATCCTACGGGGGCCCATTCACAAGAAACTTGAACAAGAAATTGTCTTGGGAAATATAGGATTTTTTTCTAGCATTTTTTGTTAACAACAGTTAATAAAGACCAAATGTCCCGACACAAGTATAATACCAGTACATTTTGACCTTGTGGGGACATTTATTTTTGGTCCCCCATGAGGAAACAAGTGTATAAATCATACAGAATGATCTTTTTTGAAAATCTAAAAATGCAGAAAGTTTTGTGTGATGGGTAGGTTTAGGTGTTAGTGGATATAATATACAGTTTGTACAGTATAAAAACCATTGTGAGAATGTCCCCATAAAACACAGCAGAAATCCAACATGTGTGTGTGTGTAGAAAAGGCCCCAAAGTTATTTCAGTGTTGCTATTATTTTGTATAGTTGACCATATTAGGCTTTGTTTCACGTTTACTTCCGTTTATTCAGTGCTTGTAACGGTAGCCGAAGCGCGCGCTGGTTTGTATACTATCTGACGTCACACAGTTAGTATGCAGTACGATAGAGATAGTCAGTCAGTCGGTCGGTCGGTCGGATTGTAGATGTGAGCTGCACCTTTCTTCAGAGTGTGCGTAAATGAGAAAAGTAAGTACATATGTGATATTGTATTATTTGTTAAACTAGTTATTTCTGTTATTTGATGTGGATAACAGTTAGGAGTTTAAGGAGTCGCTATGCGACCGTGGTGCTAATTATATCCACGTTCGTTCATTTCACGCTCGAGCTTCGACTCGTCTGATTTTAGTACGTCGAGTTAACGATATGTAATATCGTGTTTAGATGTGTTTATACTTTCATATTTGTTGTTAGGATTGATCAGTACTTTGTGGTTGAGTAAAATAAGAAATAAGTGGTGGTAAATATTGTTATTTGGATCGCTATCGAGGTTTCTCAGTCAGGGCTTTGCTAGCTCGAATGGAATATAGCATTCAGTACGGGGTTTTTTCATAATAAAACCATCCAGCTGTTTAGTTAGTTGAAGCTATAAAGTGTATTATCATAGATGACAGTAAGTGCTATCTATGTTAGTGGGAATTTAACTTATAATAGAAAATCTGAGGATCCTTTATAATAAGTGTTTGAATCTTTACATTATGCTTACAGTATTAGAGTTTAAGAGATATACTGTATAGTTATATTCTGACTATTGTTTGCTTTGTTTAGTAATGTATATTAGTGCTTAGAGAGGAATGAGTGTATGCATATGTTTAATTTATTCATTTGTAATTTGTTTCTCTCTTTATAGAAACCACACTCAGAATTACACTCACCCTCAAACTCACTCACACAAGAAAGAGGAATAAAGAAACAGAATCAGAACTATTTCTCCGCTCTTTATTTCATACTCTGGAACATTTGGCCTTAAGTGGTGTTCTGGCCGACACACCTGAGTGAACTTGGTGATAAACCCAGAACTAGCACCTAGACTGAGCGTCTACCCATTATCTTCACAACATTGATGGTCCTTCGAGCCGGATCACTGAGTTTACGTCAGAGATGGAACTACATCCAGAGTATGATGCTAGTGGTGCACGTCCCAAACGGCACATTCACCCACCTGTGCGCTATGCAGATTATGAGGTCGATTATAGAGGCTACATCGGTCAGAGGTACAGAGAGGAATCAGAGAGTTATCACCAGGAGGGAAATGCCAGGATGACACCCCTCACCTCCCCACCAGACTCTCCTCTTCGACGCCAGAGGCGGGATGCTATTCTTCAGGAGATGGACCTGGGCTATAGGGCTGAGAACCAACAGCACAGCCAGAAGAATCAGCTAGCCCCCCAGCGGTTTCCAGAGAGAGAGTTTAGGGAACAGCTACGAGATTACTCTACTCCCCTACCTCCAGCGCTGCACCCCATACATCCACAGCATGACAGCCGAGTTGAGTTAGATGACATTCGTCATGAAAGACACCTCCTGCAGCAGACACAGCGGCCCATGGCATCAGACTTGGTCGAGCTTAGAGCGCTGCGAGCAGACATGAGACAGTTAGTAGATTCTGTTTGTAACATGCAGAGTCCAACCTCTCTTCATACCAGAAAGCCAGAGTTAACGGTGATGTCGCCACGGCCACCTGTCGAAAGTGAACCTAACGCTGAGGAAGAGGATGATTGGCCTGCACCACCACCATGGCCAGACCCAGTAATTGACGAACTTCTGCCTGGTGACCCACCTATGCTAAATTCGCTTATTAGGAGAACAGATGAGGTTCCAAGAACTAAGGAAGAAGCATTGCCAGCCCCAGCTCCTGACATGTTTGTGGGCCAGCCACAAGTTTATCACTCAGCACATGGGGCCCTTCCTACTGCAAAGCCATGGGAGGA